GATAAGTGCGTCATGTTTGGACTCATTTTAAAGGTTTTTTAATGAAGATGACAAATATGTCAAAATTGACGTTGACGTTTCAAACCGGAAGTGATTGTATTTTCATTAATATTAAAGTTAAATATGTCGAGTTTGGACTCATTTTAAAGGATTTTTTATGAAGTTGATAAATATGTCAAAATTAAAAGTTAAAAGTTCGAACTTTTTTGTTTTTTGAGATAAATGCGTCAAGTTTGGACTCATTTTAAAGGTTATTTTATGAAGATTACGAATATAATAATAAAATTAAAGTTGACATTGACAACTGAAAGTTTTTTTCACCAAACCTGACTGTTTCTAGTTCTCGTTCTAGTTTAACCTAAAACTTTCTAGTTCTAGGTCTAGTGTTAGTTCTAGTTTTAATTGTTATTTACCCTAAATTCTTGTACATTTTAATTGATCTAAAAATATTTTTTTTTGATTTAATCCACTCACCTTGCTTATAATTTCATCTATTTACCCATTTTGAAGCAAATACAACCTTTAAATCCAATTCATTACGTGTTTTTCATTTTTTTGACAAGCAACTGCAATATTTGGATCTTAATCACCATGGTAACCGAGTCAGGTTGGATAACCTTAAAATAATAAAATTTTAACCGTTAATATTTCACTTTATGTTTTATTTTTTTTATTTTATTTTATATCTTTTTTTTTATATTGTTGTATATTGTTTAAGTAAAATACACTGTGTATAAATAAAAACATAGAAATGTCAATTCTTCCAATGACGTCATAGCGGGAGGATACGTTCATAATATATGGAGTTGGATAACCTTATACAGTTTGTTCACTCAACGGACCTTGATTGTTATAAAAATTAAAAAAATAGATTTGGAAGGATCCGAAGGTGCTGATTTAACGAAACATGTCGCGATTTCAATTAAATTCGTATTAATTAATTAAATATAAAAAGAATTAAATTTAATTACAGATAACCAACTTACCGACATACAATCAAACAAACATAACCTCACTAAATTAAACGTCATGATCGTTTCTTGTCAAAATAAGCAATAAAATTAATTTAATAATAAATGATTTAATTTAAAAACCAATAATTAATAAATAAAATAATGTCGGATTTAGTAAAAAAATGCGTAGTTCGCGTCGAAGTCGAAAACAACAACGAAGGTAAGTATTAAAAAGTGAGGTTAAAATCACCTTATTGTTATAAAAAATTAAAAAAATAGAGTTGGAAGGAGCCGAAGGTGGTGATTTAACGAGTTAGAAAATCCGTCGTCATCGAAACATTCGTGGAATTAGCGTTGAAACGTTTCCGAGTCGATTAGAAACCCCCAGAAATGATTGGGGGCTCCTTCCGGAACATTCTCGAGATAACACGAAATTATTAACCCTTTCGTTACTAAGAGCGTACTTCTCGTTCTAGTTTAACCTAAAACTTTCTAGTTCTAGGTCTAGTGTTAGTTCTAGTTTTAATTGTTATTTAACCCTAAATTCTTGTACATTTTAATTGATCTAAAAATTTTTTTTTTTTAATTTAATCCACTTACCTTGCTTATAATTTCATCCATTTACCCATTTTGAATTAAATACAACCTTTAAATCCTATTAATTATGTGTTTTTCATTAAAAAATTTGAATTCAACATCAACTTTGACAAGCAACTGCAATATTTGGATCTTAATCACCATGGTAACCGAGTCAAGTTGGATAACCTAAAAATAATAAAATTTTAACCGTTAATATTTCACTTTATATTTTTTTTTATATTTTTGTATATTGCTTAAATGAACTCAACGGACCTTGGTCGAAAACAACAACGAAGGTAAGTATTAAAAAGTGAGGTTAAAATCACCTTATTGTTATAAAAAATTAAAAAAATAGAGTTGGAAGGAGCCGAAGGTGGTGATTTAACGAGTTCGAAAATCCGTCGTCATCGAAACATTCGTGGAATTAGCGTTGAAACGTTTCCGAGTCGATTAGAAACCCCCCGAAATGATTGGGGGCTCCTTCCGGAGCATTCTCGAGATAACACGAAATTATTAAAAGATAACTTTGAGGAGAAAAGTGAGATTGGATTTTTTAGTGGTAACCCATTCGTTGAATTAACTAAAGGAATTTTGCATCTATATAAAGAAGAGTAAGTTGAAATAAAAAATTATTTGGTTAAAAAAAACTGTAAACTTGTTTTTTTTTTAAATTTTTAGTGCGTTATCGAGTAGCGCCGAAGCGTTAACTTTATGCATACTCGGAGTTCCTAATTCAATGACTTGCCACGATCTTTTAAACTACACAGCTCCGTGTCATGCCGAAATCGCTCACATCCGAGTGTTACGAGACACCACTCCTAACCAATATATGGCACTTTTAACGTTTCGAAATCACCCGGCGGCGAGGGAGTTCTATATAACGTATAATGGGGCCCCTTTTAATACTTTAGAACCGGATATTTTGTGCCGCGCGGTTTGGGTGTCTCAAGTCGAGTGGGCAAACGATGGTTTTCCACCCCCGGGGCATACGGAACTTCCAACTTGCCCCGTTTGTTTAGAAAGAATGGATGAGTCAATCGATGGGGTTTTAACGATTTTGTGTAATCACGCTTTTCACGCGAGTTGTTTAGAAAAATGGGGGGATTCAACTTGCCCCGTTTGCCGATGTGTCCAAAGCCCAGAACAAGCTGAAAGTTCTGAGTGCGATCGTTGTGGGAAATCGGGGCCATCTCCTGATGCTTTATGGATTTGTTTGATTTGTGGGCATGTTGGATGTGGGAGGTAATTTATTTATTTATTTATTTTAAGTTTTAATCGATTTAATTGATTTTTAGATACCAAGGGGGGCACGCGGCGTCTCATTACCGCGAATCCGGACATTGTTACGCGCTACAATTGGGGTCCCACCGCGTTTGGGACTACAAAGGTGATAATTTCGTGCATCGCCTCCTCCAAAACAAAGGCGATGGCAAATTAGTCCCAACAGAAGGTCCCCCATCCGAATCGGAATGCATGCAAGAAAAAGTCGATTCAGTCCAACTCGAATTCACTTATTTATTAACATCCCAACTCGACGAGCAACGACTTTACTTCGAAGATAAATTAGCGCAATTAGATTTCCAAGCTGGAGAAGAAACCAAAGCTCTAAGAGAAAAATTAACCTCTCTAGCCGAAGAAAACAAACAATTAAAAAGCAAATTATCCTCCCTAGGGAAAGAAAAAGGTAACTTGGAGAAAAAAATATCCCAACAAGCATCTAAACTCACATCGACTTTAACCGAATTAAACGAAGAAAAACAATTAGGAAAAGCGATGCGGAGTAATCAGCAACAATGGCAAAGCAAAACGGCGAAATTAGAGGAGAAGTTAAATGAATTAAAGGCGGTTAAAGAGAAAGAAGTGGCGGATTTAAAGGAACAACTGCGGGATTTGATGTTTTATTTAGACGCGCAATCGGTTATTGAAAAATCGGAGGATAAAGATGAAATTGCTTCGGGGACGATCACCGTGGGGGAAGCTCCCGAAGTGAAAAGTAAAAATCGAAGGAAAAAACGATGATTTTTTTGTGATTGATTATTTATAATTTGTATTTTGTTGTTTAATTAATAAATAATTCGTAATTTTGGGGTTATGTCAAATTAATTTCGAGGTTATCTCAAAGTGTCAAATTATTTTGGTAATTAATAATCAAAAAAAAAGTAAGTTATAAAGTAATTATTTTATAATTTGATGTAAGTCGCGGGATTTGTTGCAATGTGAGAAGATAAAAGAAGTAAATGAAGAGGAATCTCTTGGGATAAGTACAATAAATATTAAAAATGACATACATAAATAGTTTGGTACTAGAAATATTGTTAAATAATGTAAAAATTAGATAATGAAAAAACAATAATTTTTTTGTGATTGATTATTTATAATTTGTATTTTCTTGTTTAATTAATAATTCATAATTTTGAGGTTATGTCAAACTGTCAAATTATTTTTGGATATTTATGAATTTCGCATTAATAACAATTAAATGAATTATGGATAATAAATATAAATGGATAATAAATAATGTTTCGGATAAAAAAGTTGCTAAAAAACTTTAAATAAATATTCAATAATCGGATGTATCCCATTAAGCAGTTCTACCAACTTAAACCATCGAAAAATGTCAAAATCATCATTTTTAACAACAATAGTGTTTAATATCTCGAGAATTTGAATGTTTAGAAAGAAATGTTTCGAATAAAAAATGTTTGTAATTAACTCTAAATACATTTCCTTTAAACAGGTTTATTCCATTAAGCAGCTCTACCAACTTAATCAATTTAAAAGTGAAAAGTGTCAAAATCATCAATTTTAACAACAATTATATTTAATATCTCGAGAATTTGAATGTTTAGAAAGAAATGTTTCGGATTAAAAATGTTGCTAATTAACTCTAAATACATATTAAATAATCGAGTATATTCCATTAAACAGTTCTACCAACTTAATCAATCCAACCGTCTCAAAATCATCAATTTTAACAACAATAATATTTAATATCTCGAGAATTTGAATGTTTAGAAAGAAATGTTTCGGATTAAAAATGTTGCTAATTAACTCTAAATACATTTCCTTTAAACTGGTTTATTCCATTAAGCAGTTCTACCAACTTAATCAATTTAAAAGTGAAAAGTGACTAAATCATCAATTTTAACAACAATAATATTTAATATCTCGAGAATTTGAATGTTTAGAAAGAAATGTTTCGGATTAAAAATGTTGCTAATTAACTCTAAATATATTTCCTTTAAACAGATTTATTCCATTAAGCAGCTCTACCAGCTTAATCAATTTAAAAGTGAAAAGTGTCTAAATCATCAATTTTAACAATAATAATATTTAATATGTCGAGAATTTGAAGGTTTAGAAAGAAATGTTTCGGATAAAAAATGTTGCTAATTAACTCTAAATACATTTCCTTTAAACAGGTTTATTCCATTAAGCAGTTCTACCAACTTAATCAATTTAAAAGTAAAAAGTGTCTAAATCATCAATTTTAACAACAATAATATTTAATATCTCGAGAATTTGAATGTTTAGAAAGAAATGTTTCGGATAAAATATGTTGCTAATTAACTCTAAATACACATTCAATAATCGGGTGTATTCCATTAAGCAGTTCTACCAATTTAATCAATCAAAATGTGAAAAGTGTCAAAATCATCAATTTTATCAACAATAATATTTAATATCTCGAGAATTTGAAGGTTTAGAAAGAAATGTTTCTGATAAAAAATGTTGCTAATTAACCCTAAATACATATTCAATAATCGAGTGTATTCCATTAAGCAGTTCTACCAACTCAATCAATTTAAAAGTGAAAAGTGTCAAAATCATCAATTTTAACAACAATAGTATTTAATATCTCGAGAATTTGAAGGTTTAGAAAGAAATGTTTCAGATTAAAAATGTTGCTATTTAACTCTAAATACATATTCAATAATCGGGTGTATTCTATTAAGCAGTTCTACCAACATAATCAATTTAAAAGTGTCAAAATCATCAATTTTAACAACAATGGTATTTAATATCTCGAGAAGTTGAAGGTTTAGAAAGAAATGTTTCAGATAAAAAATGTTGCTAATTAATTCCAACGTTGAATTCAAGCAACTAAGCCGAGGTCGTTTACGGCCGAGGCAGTAGATTCTATTATACAAATTTGTGTTCAAGGAACTAAGCCGAGGCAGTAGATTCTGGTAATCAAATTTGGAATCAAGGAATCAAGTTTTACGGCCGAGACACAGTAATTAATACCATACCAGCCTTTCGAACAACATATAGCCGGCCTCAACTTAATCTAGAAAAATAATGGATCCCAAGTTCTATCATATCATATCAACCCAAGTCTAATTAATATATTGTTGCACCTCGGCCGCAAGCTTGGTTCTTTGAATCCAAAGGAGATTAACATAATCTACTGCCTCGGCCGCTAGCGAACAACATACCGGGTGTAACAGGATCATGTAACAGGTACACCCCCTGTATGTCCTTTAGTTTTGAAGATAATTGATTCAAATTTAGGACACCTATACACATGATAAGAGACAGTTTTTGACATAGAATTAATTTTTTTTTCAATTCCGGTTTCGCCGGAAGTGACACTAACTTTAGATTTTTAAATGGAACGTCATGTTGATGAACTTTATTTGCACATAAATCACGTAATTTGGTATTTTTGGCGGAATTTAGATTTTTCTAGCGTTAGACGGGTTAATTAGAAGGAACTCTCATGGTACACTTAAATGGAAAATTAAGCATTAAATTCTAAAAAATATTGACGTTTGAAATGTCACTTATGTGGTACCATTGGATTCAGAAAATTATTCAAATTTCAAAAATGTAATAATATACAGGGTGTTCCACTTAAAAATCTAAAGTTAGTGTCACTTCCGGCGAAATGATGTGTATAGCATGTCTCAAATTTGAATCAATTATCTTCAAAACTGAAGGAGATACGGGGTGTGTACCATGATCCTTTTACACCCGGTATAGTAGATGTTGTTCGAATATGGGTTGATATGGTATTAATTGCAGCGCCTCGGTTGCAAGCGAGGTTCTTTGCATCCAAAAGTGATTAACACAACCTACTGCCTCGGCCGCAAGCGACCTCGGCTTAATAAAAAAAAATCGAAACGATGACTCGAAAGTTTCTAGTGTTAGTTTTAATTTTAATTCATAATTTTGAAGTTGTGTCAAATTATTTTTGATTATTAACGTCAAATAAAATAATTAACATGCAAAACGACGATTCAGACACCGATTTTGGCTCAACTGAAAGTGTAGAAGGTTACGCTGAGAAAATATTAGATTGGAAAGAAATATGTTTCTTGCCGTTCAAGATGATATGGAAAACTGCGTTAGTTTTGGTCATCTTTTTGGAGATAGTGTTTGTCAGTTACAGTTTAATGTTCGAAACGAAAGAGGAAACGAGTTATTTCTTTTTTGGTTATTATTTGTTCGAAGTCTTTTATGCTATCGATACGTCGCTATTTATCATGCACAAGTAATTAATTCAATAAATTTAAAACAAATTTAATTTGATTCGTTGCAGGTTCCTTTGGACACAACAAAAAAAGAAAACTCACGTCCCAAAACATTATTTCACGATAATCATGGATATAATCACCTTAATTCCTTACTACGAGACTTATTACTTACTCGGGAGAGCATCGAAAGGAAAAAATTACGATTTCGTGCGAGATCTTTTTAAATGGAAAGTTTTGTTTCGGATTTATCGAATCCCATCGTTTTTCGAATCAATCTCAAAAACGCCTGGTTTAAATCACATCGCTGCGGATTCAATCGGACACGCTGTATATTTTTTATTATATTGCACTTTAGGGAGTTGTTTTTGGTACTACCTCGCGTTAAAAAGCCCTGAAAATAATTGGTCAACCACTTATTTAGAGTACCACAACTTTAATAACGACTCATCGTATTCCTGGTACATCATTTCGTTTAGTTTGGTCGGAAATCTTTACGCTCACAATTGGTCCGGATTAATATTCGCAACTTGGACCGTGGAGTATTATTTTTTCATGGTAACCATGTTACTTGGTTTTTTAAACCACTACATGATTTTATTCGGAAAATTAATCGCGTTATACATGAAACGAATCGACCCCCAATACCGATTTTCAATGAAGCTGTACGTTATTCAAAATATGATGCAAGATTGGAAAGTTCCCCCTAAAATTCAAAAAGACGTCATCGAAATTTATAACTCCGTTTGGGAACAAAGATCCGGAATTATCGATCGACCGAAAATGACGGAGTTGTTACCGGAAAGTTTGAGGAAGGAAATTAATTTGGATATATTTTGGGTCGCGTTGAAACATTCCCCCATTTTTGATCATTTGAGTATGGCTGCGAAACGACATTTAGGGCTTTATATGAAAAGCAAGTTTTTGATGCCCGGGACTTTTATTTTAAAAGCTGGGGAAGTTAAATCGAGAATTATTTATGTCGTTTCTGGTGTTGTTCAGGTCAGTATTTATTTGTATTTGATAAAACAATATAATCTTTATTATTGAACTAGAATTGACACCATGAAGTTTTCCATTTGTCTATTAATTAATCTCAATTTTGACTTATTCGTAATCTTCATTAAAAATCCTTTAAAATGAGTACAAACACGACATATTTATCTCCAATATTAACGAAGTTGTGGTCAACTTCCGGTTATAAATGTCAACGTCAATTTTGACATATTTGTAATCGTCGTGAAAAATTCTTTAAAATGAGTCGAAACATGATATGTTTAATTCCAATATTACTCGAGATATAAGCAATTTCCGGTTTGAAATGTCAATGTCATTTTGACATATTCTTAATTTTTATAAAATGTCTTAAAATTTGTTACAAAAACAAAAATATAATAAAAAAAAAAATAAAAAATTGAGGTTGGTATTAATATTTAAAAATTAAATTGCTATCTTCATTGTTGCTAACTTCGGGTTTAATGTTTTTTATTCTAACTTTTTTGTTTTTTGAGATAAATGCGTCATGTTTGGACTCATTTTAAAGGTTTTTGAATGAAGATGACAAATATGTCAATATTGACGTTGACGTTTCAAACCGGAAGTGAGTGTACCTCCATTAATATTAAAGTTAAATACGTCGAGTTTGGACTCATTTTAAAGGATTTTTTATGAAGTTGACAAATATGTCAAAATTAAAAGTTGAATTAAATTTGTTAACTCTACCAGTCTCATTACAAATATGTTTCACTTGATACACCTGCTATATCCCTATTCTCGTTTTCTAAGTTTAGTCCATTAATGATATATCAAAATTTGAATGTAATTGACTGTAAATTTGAATGTGTTTGCTAACCTCAACCTTATATAACGAGACTCTTAACAATGGTCTAGGCCGAAACCGGTAGTGTTAACAAATTTATAAAATATATTGGAATATAAACATCGTTTATTTTTAAAAAACATATATAATATACCAATATGGATGAAAACCCATTTACCTATTCGAACTTTTTGTTTTTTTGGATTAAATGCATCATGACAGAACACTATGAAGTTGTCCATTTGTCTATTATATGACAACTAACTTCAGGTTTAAAATGTTAATCTCAATTTTGACATATTTGTAATCTTCATTAAAAATCCTTTAAAATGAGTACAAACACGACGTATTTATCTTCAATATTAATGAAGTTATGGTCAATTTCCGGTTAGAAACGTCAACGTCAATTTTGACATATGTATTTGTAATCGTCGTGAAAAATCCTTTAAAATGAGTCCAAACATGATATGTTTAATTCCAATATTACTCGAGATATAAGCAACTTCCGGTTTGAAATGTCAATGTCATTTTGACATATTCTTAATTTTTATAAAATGTTTTAATATTTTTTACAAAAACAAGAAAACAATAAAAATTAAAGTTGGTATTAATATTTAAAAATTAAAGTGTTATCTTCATTGTTGCTAACTTCCGGTTTAATGTTTTTTAATTTAACTTTTTTGTCTTTTGAGGTAAGTGCGTCATGTTTGGACTCATTTTAAAGGTTTTTTAATGAAGATGACAAATATGTCAAAATTGACGTTGACGTTTCAAACCGGAAGTGATTGTATCTCCATTAATATTAAAGTTAAATATGTCGAGTTTGGACTCATTTTAAAGGATTTTTTATGAAGTTGACAAATATGTCAAAATTAAAAGTTGAAAGTTCGAACTTTTTGTTTTTTTGAGATAAATGCGTCAAGTTTGGACTCA